GAGGGGATCGTCAGGATTTAACTATCATTTTCAACTATCGGAAATAGTAGTTGTATAGATCTTTGGCAGTCCCTCTCCCAACAACGACCAAATACGACCTCCCTCCCTCGCGGTCAAATACGACCCCCTCCCGTTGTGATCATCACAACGATGGCGTGCCCTGGTTCGAACGATATGATTGTTGGATGCTCTTGTATGTTGCCGCCTGCAAGCGAGCACGCCACAGAAACTCAGGCCCTGGACAACAGCCATGATCAAGTGCGTTATTTAGCCGCATGCGCTCACGTTTCGGTAGTACTCTGTAGATGTCTACAGCTCGACTATGGAACATTCCCCAGCTGCAGGCATGTTGCCAACACTTTGTGGAGCACTGGTCGCTCAAGTCCCATGGTAAACCTGCGACAACCTCATCACGAAAACGGTGGGTAGGAGGTTATATGGTGAAGAGTGGCGCGCTCACCACTCCGTCCGGGTTCGAATCCCGGGTCGACCCCGCCCAGGCCAACCAAGCCTTCTACCCTCCGGGGACGGTAAATTGGTACCAGATTCGTCTGGGAGGATAAAACACTGACTTGTACATCGGCTGGCCACCGCAAGTCATTGTATAGGCCACATCGCATTCAATAAGCCACTACGATTCTGAATGGAAGTAGAATGCATGCCGCATCCCAAAGAAGGAGTGTTCAAGAGTGACTTAAATGAGGAGTGGCGAAGACTTTAAAGCCATCCGAAGCCACATTCCTGAACAATTCTATCGGAGAAGTACATTTATATTCGAAAAATCCATGAAATTCCTCTGAAAAATCTAGAAATCTGAATCCTGCCCACCATTTTTCTTTTTCCCAACTTCCTACCACTTTTTCCAGTTTTTCCAGCGTCCCGAGAAATTTCTAGTTTGTCCCCAAAATTTTGCTGTCGAGGGGGGAGAGGTGTGGGGGGACGCGGGGGAAAAGGTCGTCGGGAACTAACTACTATTTGCAACTATTGGTAATAGTAGCTGTGTAAATATTTGGCAGTGCCGCCAAGTAGGAGGGCTAAGGGGAAGGGGGGGGGGGGAGGTATATAACACCAGTGAAACTGGAAAAACCGCAAAAAGCCAACAACAGGAAAAAGTTTCTTTCCCAGCGCCGCAAGTTCCTCTCAAAGACGAATACGCCCCCTTCCCCTCCCAACAACGAGCAAA